CAGGTTGGAGGCCATCGCTAGTAGGTTAGAGGCCATCGCTCTTAGGTCCCTTTCGTCCTTTCCTTTTCCATCCCCGCCGTTCAGCGCCTGAGCCGTTCCCGGGAGGCCTCCCGCCAGCGCAGGTGTCATCAAGTCAGCCTCGGCTTCATTGGTTTCAGCCGCACTGGGCGCCACCAGGCGCGGAGGAGCACCAGTATTGTGCAATTGGGGCTGAGGGATTCGGAGTCCCAAATTCTCGGCCTTCCCAGGCTTGTTGGGCCCCCCCAAACTTGAAACAAGAGGAGCTGGTTGGGGAATGATGAAACACAAGCACTGGCTTCAAAAACCACTGGTCATCTACTTTGGTCGGACAACAACACCTGACCATGATGAATGCAACCCTGCATTCTAATTCTTCCGCTTTTGGAAAAGACCCTCCAAATAAGAAAGGCTCACAAAAGTCCATGTGACAGTGACAAAGGTCCAGCCTTGCTACCTCATAACTCATGCACTCACACAATGAGGCCACCGCGGACACCGATGGCACGCCAGGGCTCCAAGCCTGCTGTCGCCAGTGCGCAAGGGGGTCGATGACACTCGGACGTCTGTCTTGGTGTATATCAAAACGCTAAAGAACCCCAACGTCAGCCTGCCGAATTTTTAGAATTCATACAATTGTTCTAAGTACTGCAGCCAAAGAAAAGAACACCCTTTTGGGCCTGAAAAAACAATCACAAGAGCTGCCTCAAGCAGCCGTTTTTCATTTGATTGAAGCATTGTGACAAGCCAGGTGACAGTGCGTTTACCTGGCAACCAGGCGGTGGCAGTGGTAAAAAACATGTTGGAAAACATAATGTTTGAATAAAAAACATATGAAAAACGACATGTTCAAACGTGTAAAAGCACGTGTTTCTTATAAGATTTGGGTCAAAAAATCATGCATCTGATCCATGAAACTGCGGTTTGATGTTTATTTGATTGAAGCAAATGAATGGAACATGTCTAAGAATTAAAGATTGTATTCATCTGATTCAAGCAAGTATTGGAAGATCCAGCAAAAATCGCATGGATCAAATGACTGACATGTTTGACCCAGAAATTATGTGAAAAATGTTCGTACTGTATACGTTGATGCAATCTTATGACTATTTGTTGCTTCAATTGTCAAAAATTACAAGAAAATACATATATATGTATGTTGAAACCAGATAGCGTGAGCTAGTGGGGGCTTTACTTCAAGTATTGGAAGAGGGAACTTGGGTGCTGGTGCCACTGCAGGGTCCCACTGCTGTGTGCCTGTGGCGGACGTATGGATCGGTGCGATTTGAAAGATGGTGCCGCCACAGGCCGCTCGAGGGTGTTGCTGCGACATGTTTTGCTAGCGGGCTGAGAACCGCGCTAGTAGTCGTGCACTTTTTATCAAAGCTATGATCATGTTGTCACACGTTGCGTCAAAGTCAGAGCCTTTCATTTTTGCCCACAGAACTCTTTTAGCTATCTGGGGTCTATGTTGGCGTAAAGCCCCACATGGCGTGAGCTATTGGTGTTCTTACTTAAATTCTAAAGGTATAGGAAGCTGCGCTTTTGAGCCTGGGTGCTGGCGCCGCTGAAGGGTGCCGCTGCTATGCAGGGTGCCACTGCTGCTTAGGAGCTTGGGTCGCGGTGCTATGTGCGCTTCAAAGCTTGGGTGCTGGTGCGCTTGAGTGCTGGTGCCGCTGCAGGGTGCCGCTGCTGTCTGTGTGCGTGGGAGCATGGTTGCCGGTGCTGCTGCAGGGCGCCAGCTGCTGTGTGTGCTTGGAAGCTTGGGTGCTTGTGCCGCTGCAGTGTGCCGCTGCAGGGTGTTGCTGCAGGGTCCCGGTGCCGCTGCTGTGTCCGCTTGGGTGCTTTGTGCCGCTGCAGGTTGCTGCTGGGTGCTGCTGCTGCGCTTGGGAGCTTGGTGCTGGTGCCGCGGCAGGGTGCAGCTGCTGTGTGCGCTTCGGAGCTTGGGTGTGTGGCGGTGTGCACTTTGGAGCTTGCTGCTGCTGTTGCTGCCGGAGGTGCGATTTGAAAGATGGTGCCGCCGCAGGGTGCTGCTCGACATGTCTTTGGCCGTGTGCGCTTTGAAGCCCGGGTGCTGGCACCGCTGGAGTGCGCTACAGAGTGCCTGTGCGGAGTGCGGCTGCAGGGCGCTGCCCACAGAAATCTTTGTGCTATTTGGGGTCTATGCTAGCGCAATTTGGGTTTGTTGCGAAGGGGCAGGACTCCTAGGTACCGGTTTTTCCCCAGATGGCTGCAAGCTATAGGGCTCTTGCTTCTCAATAGTGTGGCTCTGGGTCGGCGTTGCTGGTGCTGGTGCTGGATGGACGTTTTGTTTGGGCGTGCTGGCGCAGGTGCTGGTGCGGTGCTGGTGCTGAGTGCCGGCACGCGGGTGCTGGTGCTGGATCGGCGTTTGCTTGGGACGTGCTGGTGCAAGTGCTGGTGCTGGTGCTGGATCGGCGCTTTCTGGCGGTGTGCTGGTGCTGGTGCTGGTGCTGGATCGGCTCTTTCTGCTGGTGCTGGTGCTGGTGTTCGATCGGGGTTTTCTTGGGGCGTGCTGGTGCAGGTGCTGGTGTGGGTGCTGGTGCGGGTGCGAGCATTATGTGCTTTTTCCCTATACACCCGCTACCTGGGGTCTATGCCGGTGTAATTTGCCAAGGTGCTTTGCTTTGCCTCATCTCAGACCTAAAAGAACTCAAAAAGATTGAGCCATTGTTTTTGTGATTTTCACGGTGAGGTGATGAAATTCCTACATCAGCCCTCCGAAGTAAGTCCCCTCCTCCACTTTAGACTCTTGCCAACTGCACGCTTGGAAACCTAGCGGACCTAGCGCTTCCGGCCTGCGCCGACGCGGTTGGCAGAGCCTTGCGCGAGTCAAAGGCGGTTGGCACCTCATCCGGCTGCGGGGAGTGCTGCTGCCTGGGAGGAGAGACGAGAGACGATGCCCCGCCGGTGGTTTTTGGCTGTGGGGGTCACTGACACAGGATCCGCCTGTTTGGCGCAGAGGATGGGCTCTGACCACAGGTTCGGGTCAGTGAAAGCTGTCGGATTCGGTGGCAAGTCGTCCTATCTATGAGAAGCCTTTGATACTTGATGGATATTGACATTGATGGATACGGCTCTTGAGCTTGAGACTAACAGGAGGTTGCATGGCCTGAAGGTCACAATATTCACCATGCGTGGGTGATGAAATGTGTTGGAATGTAGCTAAATGAGGCCAAATCTGGGTCGAGTCATCACTTGTGATTTTGGCGGAGGCTCCGCCTGCATGCAACCATGCTGGCTGGATGCGGTCACTACCGTCCTACCTACCATTCTTCCGACACATCATGGTCGAGTAGAACTCTCTCCAAACATCATAGATCTCACTCGGTGCGTGCCAACTCTCTCAAACAAACATGCCGAGGCCGTCTGACATCGATTTCCCCATGAGGCAGCTTACTTTGCGCCCAAACAAATTTCCCTACTGCGCTTCACCGACCTTTCTCGCCAGGAAAATACATGCATGAGAAAAGCCCATCGTCTCAGCCATCAGCCAGTCGACATGCTCGAGCCAACCACCACGCGCGTCACGCGCGCGCCACACGCGTCGTAGGGGGCCAAGTGGCTGGAAGAAACTCAGCGCGCTGATCAGCCTCAGCTGCATCCATGAACCGTTGACTGAGTAGCTCCGGACCCCAAACCACGAAAAGGAAAAACCACCAGCAGGATTCGTGAAGCGTTTGTTCGGGAAAAACGAGATGCAAGAGCCATGAAGATGGAAGAAAATGGAAGAATCGGGGGGTCGGGAGTGGGGACGAAGCAAGTCAACATGGGGACACGAAGAGGCCCCAATTCCTCTGGGTCGACGTCCCTCTTTGGGTCGACGTGCCTCGGACTCGACCTCCCTACAGACTCGCGCGGAAAAACGGAAAACGTCGCAGATGCACCAAGCAACTCTTCCACTGGAAGGTCGATGCTGAGGGACATGGAAATCGTGGGCACCGTTTTCTCGCTGGGGCCACTCCCCGTGGTCTTGCTGCGTATTTCGACACCTGAATCGGTTTTTCGGAGTTGGCTTCGATGGACGTGAAAGCCTGGAAAAGTGTGAAAAGAAAATCCAAGCAGAATCCTTTCCGAACAAAGAGCACCCGTCTTCACCGAGTCTTCACCAGAACATCCCAAAAATCTTGGCTCAGTAGCTTTGAAGCATGACTTTTGGGTGATACAAATCTATGGCAAAAATCATCCTTTTCCGAAACATCTGTGGCACTCCCAAACATCGTTTTTCACTCCTGCCTGAACATGCCGTCTGCACTGGGATGGAGCAACGCATGACACCTGGACGCCTGGAACAGTTGCAGTAGCTGCAGCTTGCGAGGAGAACCACCACTGTGCTCGTGAGTTTTGATCGATCGTATCTTGGCAGTCACGAGCACAGGTGCGGAAATTAAGGAGTGCACTGACCAGGGTTTAGCACCACAGGAAAGGTATGAGAGAGGGCTAGGAAACCTGATCAACTTCTATCAAAAAGCATGGTGTGTGTGTGTGTGTCTCTCTCTCTCTCTCTCTCTGAAAGTGAAGAAACAAAGTGTTTGTTTCTTCACTTTGGCCCAGTCAGCTAGTCCTGAACTCGCTGGTAGACACGTTCCTCCAAGTTCTAAACTCACCAAGTTGGTGCGACAACAGCAGCAATGTCCACGACTCGACATCATAATCATCACCGACTTGAAAAAGCTTTCTTGGAGGATGTTCATACACCTGTTCAAGCTGTATTTGGGATGATTCCATGACAACACTTAGCTCTTAGTTGGCAAATGTTGTCACACATGAGGCAAGTTGGATCAGATTATGTGTATATATTATATATATATAGATTATCAGATTATCAGATCCAACTTGTCTCCACTCCCTCTTGCCATGTGAATGTGTCTCGGAGATCCCAATTACAAGTGGCTTGGTCTGGGTCTGTCCTCCCACCACTGGGGATTGATCCGATTGTTGTTCAAAAACACCCACCGCAGCCCCCAGTTAGCGCCTTCTTGGCGAATCTCCCTCTCCAAGAGGGAACCCGTTGGAACCAGTATCCGTCAGGAAAAGATCACCAGAAAGTGGATCAGGAACTTGTAGCAAAGGCCCCGATCTTCATGTGATTTGCTAATCAGTTCTTTTCTCCCTAGCGGCTAATAGCAACCTGTGTCATCCGCTTTGAAATGTCTGTCGCAGCTGATTTGAGCAAACACCACGAGCGAAGTGCTTCCCGCAACGTTCTTCAGAAACTGTTTCGCAAACCGGGTCGTTTAACGTACAACACGCCCGTTCAACGCACACCGTGCCCTTGATGTCGTCCCGAGTGCCGTGGACCGGTCAACTAAACAATCTGATTCGGCCACTCAACGGTCTGATTCGGTTATAATGTCCTGGTACCTACACATCAGTTTGTGCATGCCCTAGCCTTACACGCTTTCCCCTGACAGCGTGTAAGCTGCTTCATGTCGTGTGTCGTTGGTCCTTTGTCCCAGGATCAGTCTCGAAATCAGAAGGCCATGTGAAAACCGGAGGTAACTGTTCATCGGGTTCGCTTCTTTGAGATCCTGAAGGAGCAGTCAGAGGTGTCATCCGTGTGGAGACATGGCTGCCAGGGTGGAGAACAGATCTGCAAAAACCAATCGTAGCTGATCTACGGAGGGATGTTCACAAGTCGCTGCTTGGGAGCCTGGCACGGCAGTTTTGCCGTGAGCCGCTGCTCTGAAATAGCTGGAGCCTCTTTGGGACCAGCCCCACATCGATCTACACTGCACCGAAAATTGGGGGAACTTACCCAAATTCAGAGAAGTTCAAGCTCAAGCAGCTGGAGCACTAGCCATCTGCAACCCACAAAGCCATGCCACATCGTTGGTAGAGCCAAGTCCTGCTTGGAACCTCTTCCTGGAGAAGTCTCCAGTGGCGCGCCTTCTGCGGCGCTCAACAGCTCAATTGAGCGGGCTTGGCCCAAGCTAAAGATTTGGCTGCGCTTTGCTCTTGTGCTTTGTCAGCGAACCAGAATCTGGGTGGAGGATCAAGACTATTGAGCCACAGCCATTGAGACTTTCAGAGCTACCAAGTGTTCCAAATCAAGCGGAAGAGTCCTGAGCAAAGCACCATCACTGGAAAACTGCACATGTTTTCTGACCAACAAGCATGGCATTATTTATTTGCAAACTATGAGTTGTCAGCGTGCACATTTGATGTCGATGTTCCAAGGAAGAGGAACTTGTCCCGTCTCTTTTCCTCCATTCATGTCAGGCTTGATGACTCAGTAATCTAAAGGTGGCTTCTGCTCTAAAGAGCAAAAAGACTGCATGAAACCATCTCCAGATCATGCTGGCTGTAGACGCTCGATTGATCAGCCCCCCCAGTTGAAGAGGTTTGTACAATCCCCAGTTGAGGAGGCCGTGCCGTCGCCTGCTGCAGCGATGCCCAGCAAGAGGACCATGCGCAGTGGAGGCCTCACGGTGGTCGTCGCCATGTCTCAGCACGACTCTCGAAAGTTCTTCTCGTGATCGCAGCACCACGAAAACCACGAAAAATGGTCAAACATCCTGTCGGGCCCCCCAAATCCTCCTCACCTAAATATGATACACAGAGAGAGAGAGAGAGAGAGCGAGAGACCATTCGATCTGGCATCCCCCCTTGAGGCTTAGAACACTTGGCATCACTTGGCCGCATTCTGAATATGAAAGACTCTCGCCTCCTGTTCCCCGAGATTCCTATGATGCCATAGAGTGAAAGTTCCCCAACACATCAGCCTTCTTAGGGGTCTTCAGTGAAATCCGCTGCGCCAACTCCATCCCCAAACGGGCCATCGTTCGAACAACCGACGGCACCTCAGGGAGCGGTGCTGACCGGACTCCTCCACCTTGCTGACCTCGGAGCTATTCGAGCTATTTGGGGTGTCCGAACGCATCCAGGCATCACGATGGCCTCCACCCAGCATAGCGTCCGAACGCTCGCTACTAGTAGCGTCCGGTGCCCACCGTTGAGTCAAGAATCTTTACCTAACAATCGGTCAGTTCTTAACCCAAGGATTTCGAGACTACGGAACGAGTCTTGGAAGGCTGCGGCTGGGGGAAAAGAGTGAACATGTCTCGTTTTGACTGTGAGTGAACCATATGATGCAGGCTGCAAATGTAGGATTCCGAATCTGAAACGGTCCCACCCAACTCCTCAATGGCACAAAACCCATACGGAGGGGCGATTTTTTCGGGCCTCTCTTCATGCAAGATAAAGACCGAGAGGAAACCTCCTCCAGCATCACATCACGTCCAAACTCTCCAGCATCACACATCCAAACTGGACCTTGCTTCGGAGTAAGAACAAATTGGAAAAAAATGCTGTCAAAATCCCTTGAATTACACTCTACACTTCCTGAAATAATCATAAAAGTAAAAAAATTAATATGGAAGTGGAAAATGGCCCCTTGGATGTCAATTGTCCTCCACAAACAGGTGGTTTTCCACGTCCATGATGATTTCAGGGAGATTCAGAGAGTGTATCCCGCGCTGTTCAAACTCGTCTTGTCTTCCAAAATCTTCTAAGAGGCCCCGAGGCCCCTTTCTTCGCTCCAAATTGCCTTGCCCTACATGGAGACTTCAAGACCCTCTCCCACCATCTCCCCCTCCCAAGTCTCCCAAGCGACCAAGAAGTAGACCTCAGAGTCGCAAATGGAGCACGCCACCTTGCACCGGTGTCAGCCGATTCGGACCACAACGGTCCAGAGCACTGGCGAAACGTCGAAGACCCAAAGAGTCAAGACAAACAAGAAAAGGAAATCCAAAGCCGGACATGGCAAACGTCGAAGAGTGGGACATGACATGTTGTCTTGATTTGAACAGTCGATGAGTCGAAAAGACCGTAAAACCCGAAGACCCAAAGAGTCAAGACAAACAAGAAAAGTCGCCAAAGCCGGGCATTGCAAACGTCAAAGGGTCGAAAAGTGGAAAGACTTCCTAGTCACTGCTTGTATGTATCATGTTGCTCCCATATACTTTCTGGCTTTGCCTCCTATTCTCTTTGTTCGGGTGCGCAACCTCCCGTTGGACAGCGAGGAGCAGTTCCCCCTGTAAGCTCTGAAGATTGCCAGCATTTGTATGTATGATGACCATGTCTCTCAAGCGGTTCGCCCAAGCCACATACTACCGGATCGATCACCTGCATAGAGGTCGAGTGGCGGCGGCTTCTATCGGTCTACGCGGTGTCTTGTGGCGACTTCGTTGTATCCTACCAGGAGACGATTCCAAAGACCGAGGGCCGGAGACCATTCAAAACCCCCGACCGAACCACCGACCAGCAAGAGCCAAAACGACAGCGACCGAGGACAGCGAACGAGGACGGTGGTCTGGCGAGAACGTCCATGTTGAAAAACAGCCCTTCCAGTTGGTGGGGCGACAAGCCACTACCCGAAGCAAAGCTTTGTGTTTGGGGAAGGTATATAGTGAAGTAGAGTGAAGCGACGAGCGATTCGCGACCAGCATGGTCTTCCAGGCACCCAACCCGTGCGACAAGAGTGTCATCCCAGAAAAAAGCCCCTGACCCGACCAAGCACTGCAACTGTCTACCTGGTTTTTTTGGAAGACCGTGTCACCGTGTCCGTCCTTTACAAGCCAATGTCCATGATTGTCCAAATGTGAGTGTTCAAGGAGCTAATTCAATGGGTCCTTCGCCTTCGCCGTTGGTGCTTTTTCAGTTGAGGCGCAAAGCAGTGCATGCAGCCCATCCACATCCACTGACACCTCAAGCGACCCAAAACCGACGCGGAGACGAGCGCGGAGACCGGAACCGTGCGGAGACGACCGGAACTCACAGGAATGCGCAACGAAGCGTATCGACCGAAGCGTATCGTCCCCGGTCGTGTTCGGTACCCAACGAACAGCCACACGTGGGTGTGCAGTGCAAAGCGGCAGAGCATAGTAGTGGCTCCAAGAAAATGTCGGGCTTCCTGCAGTCTGTCAAAATGAAGGCTTGAGCATTGACACGAACATCACTAAGATTCATCAGCTGTGATTACAAGAGGGCCTTTGTATTTTTGTCCGTTGTGTCCTGTGCGGATTTGACTTCTTGATAGATTTACTGTACAAGAAAGAGCATCAGCATCAATTTGTATCAAATATCATGACCCTGAAAGTCAAAGAATTGTGTTTGGGTGACCCGAAAAATGAATTTCCTTTACTTGGGTGGTGTCAAAATAGTCGTTGGACTTCTAGGGATAAAGTGTGACTCTGTATCTCCCTTGTTTTTCGAGACTTTTCCAAAAGTTGGAGCAGCGCACCTTTCTGTCTATCAAGGCCAAACGTGCAATTGTGGCCTTGTACTAAGCCTGTCATCCCTTCAAGTTGCAGAAAATAGGAAAGAATTGTTCATGTTGGGCATATCTACGTTGATGTAGAAAACAAAAATGCGCATGCGGCTCAAAGCCTTTAAGAGGGAGAAACCCAAGGACGGTCTGCACTTTGCACCTGTTCTTCGGTTTCACCGTTTCACCCACCATCACAACCACCATCATCAAGGAGATAACCATCACTCCAAGTCGTCAAGAACAGAATTACAGCATCCACCTTCACTTGAAACTCCACATCAACATCTTCGTCATCGTTCTGCAGCCAACATGATTTACACAACTCCCCTTGCTCGGAAGCAAAAACACAACCTGTGGAAGCAAAGGGCTCAGCACAAGATTCTGCGACGTGGAGCTGAAGCAATGTCTTACTTGGAGAAACTTTCAACTTTCTTTGGGATTCAGACCTCCCCCAGGCATGCGCCTCCACTGCAGATTTGTGCAAAGTCCTCATGGACAAAACTTAAGGTTGCAGGCAGCCATGCCCAGCCGGAGGCCTCAGCAAGAAACATCCGGTCTCGAGAAACAGGTGGAGTGTGTGATACCCAGAAGAATCCTACCCAGCAGAATCTGGGCCAAAAAGGTGCTTGACCTCTACTGTCCTCTACTGTTGTGAGATGGTCAATGGTCTTGGATCTTTTGATTTAGAAGTCGAACCTGATTTTGTTGTCCGTCTTTTTCGACTTCCTCCCATCAACAAATCCCGCCCAATCATTGACCCCCTTCTGACCCAGCTGAGAGCACGGGCTGCCCTCACCGCAGCTTGAAAGCTCATCCCAGATCCTGGGTCGGAGCAGCTCAGCCCGAATCATCGACCCTGATGGATGGAATGAAATGGTCAACTCAACCATGACTTGCTTGCATTTACTTGCGCTTGTGCGTCTGCACCCTGCGTCCGATTCTGCGGCCGATTTCGGGGTCGCCCTCGAGACCCGGATCTCGCCATCTCTTGCAGCACCAGGTTCCACCAGCAAAGAGGGCGAACCAGGTCCCTCCCCAGCTCAAGTATTGCAACAGTCTGAGGGGTCGATGCCATCGAGGCCTGGGGATTGGGCTTTTCGGGCTTTTCTGGGGACCCTTTGCCTGGAAGGGTTGGGGCAAGCCTATCATGTCACAGGGCAACTGTAAACCTAGATGTTGAAGGACCACTTACATGATATTTAGGGACCGTAATTGCATGTGCCCTTTGTCTCAAGAAGGCAGCACTATCTTCCCGTAACAAGTGAAGAAACATCCAGGTTTTGACATGTTTAGACCCTTTTGACTGGCCTTCATGGAATGTTTTTGAGACAGAGCTAAAGCCCACAAGACCATCGTGCCTGTCTTTCGCAAACAGCTCTGGGAATGTCCCGATCAGTTCACACGTGGACCAAAGCCCAAAGCCTCCGCCGCAAAGCGAGCGCGGCGAATCCGCAGGCCGTTTGCGTGCGAGCCGGCGCGAACCGGCGCGAGCCGGCGTGAGCTGCTTAGCGCCATCACAACCCAACATGCCCCCGGGAACCTCCCCCAATCAGTGGTCCAGGGTGGTTCACTGGTGCTGAGTGAGAAGTTTGCACGTCACGAGGCACAAAAACCTCAACGGTCAGGCCGAAACACCAAGGGTGCGGAGATCGACCGAAGAATCAACGTCAACGATACCGTTTCGTGTCCTGATCGGTCGGGGTCAAATGCCCCTTCACAATCGATCATTAACAACTGGCCAGGCTTCCACAAGAAAGCCCCAGCAACCAGCCCCAACAATGAAACATGACCACACACATACACCAGACTGTCTAAGCATTTCCAAAAGGGCTTACCTGCAAACACCTTCCAGAAAGTATAAAAGAACGTCTTCTCTACCCAACAAGCTTCCGGCCTATGAGAATGCAAAGTCCGCAAAGGGCGTGAAGTGCCAAATGAAGATCCCATCTCACAAAGCCGATCCCCCCAAAGCCCACCACCATCAAGCTGGCTCCTGGGAACGGAGCATTTCGACGACCGAGAAAACCCACGAAGCGTGCAGTTTTTCTCTGAAAGGCTTTGGGCTTACAATGCCTGTCCACAAATCATGTCACGACTGTTGGGGACGATTGCAGGGTTGACTCCATGTCAGATTCAAAAACGGCCCCTTCGTCGCTGCAGATCTTGCGAACATCATACTTGGAGCGAGGGCTCTGGCAGTCCTGCAGCCCGTTGTCCTGGCAAGCACTTGATGAACCAACAGATCTTGCCTCCTGTCTTCACACAGGTTGTCTCTTCACTGGGCTGTCAAAAACGCATCTTGATGTCGAGGGTCATTCCCACGAAGTTGGGACCCCAGTTGAGTTGGTGCAAATGTCTGCTCCATCTCAAGGCTCCCCTCAAAATGCTTGGGCACCAATCTCGCACGCCGAAACCAGCCTCCCTGTTCCAGCTTGCGCTTCCACGCGTATACCAGCTTTGTGCTCGACCCTGTTCCAGCTTGCGCTTCCACGTCTATACCAGCTTTGTGTTCATCACATAGCCATTGTTCTCTTCAACTTCTTCCGGCGCTGTCTCCTTGATTGCTGGCATCTCGCGCGTTCTCTCGAACTCTTTCTGCTTCGCTTCTTCACCTAGAACATTCTGTTCCCATTCTGGGATGTCTGGTGGATCGTTATCCTCATCTTCTCCATCTCCCAACTGCTCCTCCACCACTTCTGGCACATATTCCAATCCGGCTTCCTCATTTGCATGTGCTTCAATTGCTTCAACGCCGGCGTAGTTTGTTGGATAGAGCCGTCACTCCTTTGCGACCCTTCTGCCATGCTCTCTGCCTTTCTGCATCTCTTCATCCTTCTCACCTGCATCCTCTGTCCTCTGTATCTCTCCTCAAGTTCCTCAATTCAGTTTCTTCTGTCTCTCTCTCTCTCTCTCTCTCTTCTCCCCGGAACTTCACTCCTGCTCCAGCTGGTGTAGCTGGCTGGTGTGCCTGAGCTGCAAACGCCATGCCTGTGGTTGTTCTGCAGAACCAGATGCCATACCTTTGCCTCCAGTATTGGATTTCTGCTCTGGTGGCGTGCAACATCAAGATGCCTTGTGGAAAGTAGGTCCAAGGGGTGCTCCCTCTGTAATCACCATCTCGAGGTTATTGTCTGACATTTCTGTTGCAAGTTGCTAGGTGTTCCATGGATGTGACATGGCTGGATCTATGCCTTTGCCATTTGACTCATTGTCCCTGGTGTCCGGCTCAAAGACATCTGGTGCCTTGAGGTGCCGCGAAAATGTTTGGCTCGCCTGGCTTGCACTCAATCTTTCCAGCGCAGCTGCCACCGAACCCGAACCTCTCATCCACCATGCCTTGCAGCTAGGTAAGGTGTGCACCTTCTTGATTCTTGATCCTCTGTGAAATCTAAGCGGCTATAGCTCAGAAAGTCCCAAAACTGATCAGACCTTCTCCTCCTGGATCTCTTCTCGCGCTCTCTCAGCCTTCTCATGAACTTCCAACTTGCTGCTTGCTGGCACACCACAACCAAAAGTTCTCTGCAATGTGTCTGCTTCTTTGTAACTTTTTTCGGAGTAAAAGTGTAGCCTTTACACTCTTTAGCCACTTGAGATTCCCCACGTAGTCCTGCACACAGATGCAGTGGAGCTGCCTCTGCTTGATCCGCAAGTGGCCAGCTGCGGCTGATAATAGCAAATTCCTTGCTGAATCCCTCCAGCACTGCCACCTGAGAGGAGGCAGTTGAGCCTGTAGTCCTCGGGGTGCCACATGTGCGGGAGCCCCCGCGCTTTACGGCCAGGGCTCCGCTACCATAAAAACAAAGCGTGCAGCTTTTCTCTGAAAGCCTTTGGGCCCAAAATGCCAGTCCATAGATCATGTCATGACTGCTGGGACAATTGCAGGGTTGACTCCATGTCAAATTCAAACATTGTTCATATCCTGGAGTGCTGAGAGGTACTGTAAACGGACATATGCACGCAGCACGCATGCCCTGAACAGTGTCCACCTAGACTAACATCATGTCAATCAGTTTCACCTCATGATCTCTACTCTTTTCCCCTCGTCAAGAAAAGGCTAAAGGAGAGGAAAGTACATTGTGCGTGGATTGAAAGAAATGTCTTGTGAGATCCTGGTTCAAACGTGGAAATGGTTGGTAGACCATAATGGAGAAACAAACAAAAGGAAGCGGTTTTATCTACAGGCGTTCGTCCCACGTTATAGTGATAGTGGAATCCACCTTCAAAAAGAAAGAACACATGGCGCCTGTAGCCTGAAAACCAGAAAGTAGCAGAAAGGCAGAATCCCGTCGCTGAGCAGTGGCCCACTGTCCGGTGAGAAGATGCAAGAGCCAAATCGCAAAGATGCTGTCGAAGAACAGCAGACCACTACAAAAGATACAGCTGGTGTGCTTGTTCAGGCCAAAGTGTGACAGGAGTGGGGGTAGAGGAGAGCATCCGTGCACCCAAATGAAGTACATCAGTGCGAAGACGCTGGGAGGGCCTGACATCACGCCACAAAAGTTGCGTGACTTGAGCAAAGCTGTTGACGGTCACCTGGGTTCTGGGGTGGAGTTGTATGATGCAGGAGGAGTCCTTCTCAAACATATGAGGCCAAGCATATCCCTCCTTTTCACTTGTGGCATCCGTTCTTGTGTTCTGTTGGTCTCCGCCGCCTAGCACCAAGGCCAGCCACCAGCATCGCGCTGATCCCAAGGTGCCCAAAGGGCTTCGCCAGCGCCCCGCCAGCAGCTCTGATCCCTCCAGTCGATCGAAAGGAAGGAGTTCCGCTTGGGTTCCTCCTTTCAAATCGAGGTACAGCTCGATGTCAGCTTGGCCTCGATGTCACTGGTTGTTCCGTTTCGCGAGAAGACTGCAACTCTGCGCGCTTTGTGGCTTCTACAACCCACTCGAACGAAACCCTTTAGGTGGGGCCATGAGACCACCATTGGCAGCGATGGTCGTCGCTACTGCATGCCCTTGTTTTGGCCTCATCAAACTTCCCTTTCAAAAAGAATTTGGAACCTTCCCTACCCAACCAGCTGCAGCTCAAAGTCCAAGAGGATGAACTACTTCATACAAACAAAATCTAGTTGCTTCTCCCATTTCTGGTCAAAACGAATCTTGCAACTCATCATGTGTAACTCTAACACCAGTTCATGTACAGCATAAATGGAGAAATGGTGGCGAAGTGCACTGGACAAACCATGGCAAATCACCTAGGGACCTAAAAAAGACCATGCAGGTCGAACCCCAACCTTTCTCGACGCCACCCCAACTTGCTGCTAAAAGCCGTCGGTTTCACAACGTGGGTCAAACCTCGCAGGTGTTGGTCGGCACGCTCCGGAAGCGCCCGCCAAACACCGGTGGGGTCTTCCTTCGCCCCCAAACGCCGGTGAAGCACCTGGTGTTCACCCCACAGCCCGAGACTTCCGTTGGTTCGCACCAATCCGGACCGTGTGGGGTTCACACCAATCCGGTCGCACCTGCCAGCATGGAGACGAAGAGGAGCATCAAGGTGGCCCACTCCCAAAAGGCACAGCTGTTCACCCAGGGTAAGCCATGCCAGCTTCGACCTCCAGATGGCAAGTGAACGGGCAGGGTCGATGTTTTGTTTAGCAGGTCCGGTGCCACATGTTCGAAGCACATCAGTTGGAGGCATCCTGGACCAAACATCAGATGTTCCTTTTCTATCATCGTTTCGTGTGATGATCTGGACCAGACTGTGAACACTCTGTGTTGCACCAGACTCTGGCCGGGCCGTAGGAGAAGACCTACGGTTGGCATGTTCATGTTTACTGAAATCAGTCTTCTTGTTCAAGTCGATAATGTCCAGAACAGGTTGCGGCGTTTTGCACTTGAATGCACGACTGTATAGTAAAGATGTAAATAGATTTAGGATCTAGATTTGATACAAAGACATAAAAACGACTATTCATTTATGATCATTACTTCCGAACAAAGAAACGCATTCCCCCATCTTTTGCTGTGAGGGGGCCGCTGCAATAGCCAAGGAAGTCTTCTCTGGCAGAAGCCTGAATCTCTGGCCACCAGGTCCAGCTAAAGAACTCTGGTCTTGTATCGTAGGCAGCGAAGAGGCAAAGAAACACCGCCAACAAGCAGAAGCCACAGAGGGGCGTTAGCCAGGTGTACATCATGCGCCACCGACTTCGGGTTCCCAGCAGATTCAATGGATATTCGCAGCTTATGCCCAGGCACAACAAACAGGTGAAGAAGGAGTAAAAACATCCGCCCCAAAATACGCCACTCGCACATGCAAAGTGCAGGTAGGAGTAAACATCCCAAGGGAATACTCCGATGAAGAAGGTGCCCAAAGCGACACTGGCACCACAGAGCACACACAAAGCTTCCAGTGCAACGAAGCGCAAACGGAGCAGCTTTAAGATGTGAGATCGAGCCAGGGTGGCCCAAAGCAGCCATGAACTGATGAGGAGGCCTTCGACCATAGTCCCCATGAGAAAGACCTTCGGAACATGGGCGTTGAGGCCCATGTCTGAGATAAAGGGCATGTAGGGCTCACAGCCCTTGGAGATCCACATGAAGTAGCCGTATCCCAGCACACAAAGCCACCAAAGCACAGCGACCCAAAGGACCCGCCGCTGCAGTGAACCTGGACAATTCAGCATCAATTCCATGCACTGTCTTTTCCGTTCGCTTGGTTCCAAGCACGGATATCTTCCATGAAACCAATGAGCTACGACATACCTCATTTGACCCAAAACTGCCTGCGGAGCAAAGCTTCAAATTCTCAAGATTCCCTCCACTCATGTTCAAACCTCTCCTACAATATTCCTCTCACAGTCATTGGTTCATAACCCTGTTGTTTCAACGAAGCAGCAAAAGGAGCATGTGTTCCCCTCCAGTGTGGTCAACACCTGCATCAGTCCATGTTTGACCTCGTCGTGGTCTCCAGTCACTGACCCCCTGACCTAAAGCTGGGACATTTGACAAATGACCGTTTTACCATTGTCGGTCGAAAACAAATCGCCCAAAAAAGAACCAACCAACACCGATGAACAACGATCAAGCTCTTATTTTTGGAAAACCGGCCATGAAAATAATGAGGAAAACTGACTTTCACGCTTTCACTGTGGCATTTGTCACGGAAGCCAAACGTCACACAGAGGAAAAGAGGGTAGGAAGGTGAGAAGAGACTGGGAAAAGAGGCTGGGATTTCAAGGTCAACAGAAATAGAAATCAAGTAAAATATAGATTTAGCCGCCGCTCAACAGGTCTTCATGAGGAGAGCATCGTATTTTACCAAAACTGCAAGGATGATCGAAACAAGAATTCTCAAGTGCAAGCGCTCACACAGAGCAGTCCAGTGCAGGCCAACAATGTACAGTTCCAAAAGCTGGTTTTTTCCAGAGCATTTGCACCATCAGCCCACCAAAATCCGGGCACCGCCCGGCACCAGTCTTTCTGGTGTGGACCATCTTCATCGGAAGCAGCTCGATGACCTTGCCCACGTTCAACACGATCTCTCAAGGCTGGCTTTGTGATCTGGCAAACCGCTTCCTTGGTGATGACCAGTTGATCATATTCAGCCCTGATGGCATCATTGAATCATTTTCCTGCTGCTCTTGGCAACCAGAAACTCCTCCTCGAGCTCTTTGCCATTGAGCACTTGATCTTGACTGTGTTGGAAGAGTAACCTTCAGCCTCTACTTTGCGCATGATGGCCTCCAACAAAGCTTCCATGTGCCTTGCTCCAGATTGGTGTCCACACGGCTTCTCATTCACATGCTCGCTTGCAAATTTGTTGGAGTGGCGCATGGAAGAGATGGACGTCTGACAGCAGCGCTTGATGCATGAACGCTGAATGGGCGACTTCCAGTTTGGAATGGGTTTCAGCAACAGATCCTGTTCATTGGATTCTGCGATGGCCAGAACCAGTAGGCCATGTCCGCAAAGACTTCAATCAACTTCTCATGCCGTGGGAGCTTCTCCATGCGCCCCACTTCTCACTGATCACGCAAGACAGCACTTGAGCGTTTTCGGTCCACCTCCTTTTGGTCTTCGACCCCGCTTCTCCGATCTTGATGAAAGCCATCACAACCCTCATCCATTGTGATCTCAAAGCTGCAGAAAGGTTTGGTCCTTTGTTTTGCAGCAGAGTTCGATAACCTTTCGTGACCCACAAACTGCACAAGTGGAACCAGTTTTGTGTTGCGAAGCATTGACTGCAGGACAAGCCACGGAGACTTTACTCCTGTGGATCCGACTTTCGACAGGGTGATTTGGGGACAATGCTGCTGCGATTGGACTGACCTACAGCAACAGCACGGTGTCCATGACAAGACATGCACATTGAGCCGGCTTCTTGTCGAACAACACTTGTTTGCCTGTTCCACAACAAAACACGAAACTGAATTCAGAAGAACTAGACGGTGCTGGTACAATGCCATGAAGAAGTTCGTCTGAGTCCTAGGACGGTTGTAAAGAGAGAAGCCAAAAATAAGAAAGTCCATGGAGTCCAAAGACAAACTTTTCACTCAGTTTGTTCACAAGTGTGAACCCCCTTTCCATGAGCTTTGCGGTCGAAAGCAAGACTTTTGGTTTCAAATTGTGAAACGGCGAGGGCGCACCTATTTCAACCTCACAAATGGGGTCTCGAGTGTAAGCCGGCGATTGCGGTTCGTGCCTGGGTGACTGACTGTGTCCCAAAGTCTGACACGCCCCCATCATTCAGGCATCTTCTACACAAGTCCATTTTGGTGCCTTCGCTGTAGTGATGGCACCTGGATGAAAAGTGTACCACTTGCCCCTTTGGGGTTTCCTCAGGTTGGTCATCTGAGTCATGAGTTTTCTGGAATGTCGACGTTCCAGCTCGTACATCTGGAAGTTCTCAGCTACTTGTTCCTGCAGTTCCTCGATCTTTTCCTCAAGTTGCTCGATGTACATGTCTTGCTTCACATATTCTGCGCCTGCCACGAAATCCGCACTTCAACATCGACAAAGTCCTGCGCCTGCCACGAAATGTGCATTTCAAGGTCCACAAAGTAGCATTTCAAGGTCCACAAAGTACTGCACCTGCCACGAAACACGAAAAAAAAACAAAACAAAACAAAAAACAATCCTAAATTAAATCCGAGCCCCTTTCTTTCACTGCCCCAGTTTCATTGCAACCAGAACCTACAACTTGGCAGCTCGAAGAAAAGTGGTTGCTCAGGGCATCCAGGTTGCCAATCGCCTTTTTAGCGATGTTGCGGACACTGCTCCAGACTGAACCATGCTCCAGACTGAACCATTTGCTCAATGCTGGAGTTGAAGGCAGATGCGGAAGTGAAACAATCGAAGGACACCTTTGGGTGTGAGCTCACCCTACTAGATGTTGACACGCACCAAACACTGCAGGATCCCATCCAAGAAGACCTATGGTGGAACACGCAATTCCACCTAGTCGTTCAAGATTGTTTTCAGCAATATGACTGCAAAGAGCAAATTCAAGGCGAAGAGTATGAGGACTACCCAAAAGCTATCAGGGTCCCGGCTAATGACACTGGGATACTTGAGGCCAAAGCCTTCTTTTCAGTTGCACGACTCCGGCACGTCAAAGTGGACCCAGGGTTTCACATGATTGACCGACAAGCCTGGCGGTATTGCCACTCACTCCAAATTGTTAAGCTGCCTGACACTGTAGTCGCCATCGAATATGCGGCTTTCCAGGGGTGCTGTACCCTGGTTATGGTCGAAATGCCTGGATGTGTCGAGTTGGGTGTTCGACTATTCTCGGAATGCTGTGCCCTTGAAAAAGTAGGTGTCATTACTGAAGGGGCTTGCAGGTTGGCCATAGGAGCCGTAGTTGGGCCTTATGCTTTTGAAGAGTGTGCCAAGCTAAGATGTCAGAGCAATGGCAGAGGTCGCTCTCCGTCGTCCCCCCTGTCAGGAATCCCACAAGGCTGCTTCCAAGTCGTACTGGGTGGGGATGCTACTTTCATCGGCCACCGGGCCTATGAAAACTGCAAACTGCTCACCCTGCTGGACATCTCTAGCAGCGAAATTGACACCCTCCATATGCACATGTCAACGGTGATAGGGCGGGTAAGGGCCCCGGGATGCAAATACTTTGGAATCTGTGCTTTCGAAGAATGTTGCTCCTTGGCGCAGATAGGAGATCAACGTGCTACAACCAATCAGCTGGCTCCACAGGCGCAATTTAGTCCGCGGGCCTTTGAGAAATGCAGTGTATTTATATTTTTTATTAATTATGTAGTAATTCTATTAATCTATTTTTTAGGTTTATTACCCATTTTGTTTGTTCCCGAAAGCATTGCGAAGGGTTCTTCCGGAAAATCCTTTGAACACTTACACTTCGACGCTTACACTTACACACACACACACACTGGAAGAGCGAAAGCATCCAAGTGCGAAGTATGCCAGTGTCAAAGTATGCAAGTGTAAGTATGCAAGCATGATATGCAAGGGTAAGTATGCAAGCATGATATGCAAGGGTGAGTATGCAAGCACGCAATGAGTATACAAGCATGCAATGAGTAGGCAAGTGTGAGTATGGAAAACTAGCACGGGAGATGTCCTAATGAAAAAACACTTCCCCACTTTATAAATTCTCTCTTAAAGGCGGAGTGCGGGACGAACAGCGTCAACCGAAAGCGCAACCCTCTGCGGAGATCGTGCGTGTCGAGTGCGCGAAATGCAGGCGAGAGTGCGATTTGTCCGGTGTGCGCGCAACCCTCTGCGGAGATCGCGCGTGTCGAGTGCGCGAAATGCAGGCGAGAGTGCGATTTGCCGGGTGTGCGCGCAACCCTCCTCTTTGATGATGGAGCGAGAATCTTAAGAGAGTTCGTCACTTTAAGTGACTATTGTCATGTCTTTGTCATTGGAGGCAGTCCCTGTACTGACCTCACTTATGCTGGTCAGGAACATGGACGCCTAGGCATATGTGGTCCTGACAGTGTTTTTTCTTTACAATGCACCTCGCGCTATACCTACTTGGTACAGTCCTTCCTAAGACACATATCCGCTTTCTTATCGAAAATGCAGGTTCAATGCACTATGATCATTTCACTTTCATCAGAGCCTGCCTTGGCCTCTCGCACATCACACGAGACAAAATGACTTGGTGTACTTCCAAAATATCGCCAGCAAAAAGACTTCGTCTCTTCTTCCAAAACAACATCCTTCATGACACTGTTGACTCTCAAGCCTTGTGCCAAGAAGACCTACAATGGCCTACCGACTGGAAACCATTATCCATCCATGATAAAGGGAAGTTTCGCGATGTTTTTATCAAACCTTTCATGCGACCCCTTGAAGTCCTCAGTGATATTGCTCTTCGCTACAGCTGGACTAGTTACCATCCTGCAGCGTTGCTGTGAAGAACTTCATACTGGCACACACATGAACGGTTTGCAGTGATAGCAAATATGTTCACCGATAGCTCTGTTCCTGCTTTTCAATGGAGCGATTTTATACCTGCAATCTACTATCCAGCGTGGAGGCGCTTTTTGAGTTGCTTCTACAACAAAACCTCCTCTAATCCAGAGAAAGATGCTGTGCTTCGCGATGTCCTTCCGTTATTTCACAACAGTAGTATACGAATTCCGTTCCGCTTCTTAAGTGACAGTGAGGTGTTGCAAGTTTCAGGTCTCAGCCGCAACTTTGCCACTATTTCGCGCCTTAAACATGTTTTGCACTCACAGACAATACGCTCCTTTGTTGGTAACTCCTTTCATCCCAAGCTTATCAGCCTTGCCATTGGCACGC